TGGTGGTAGAAGATCAAGAACCGTGGTGGGGCCTTCTGACACGAGAAGAAGCATCGTTTCCATCGTCTGCAATCAGAAGGCATATGCAATCCGTGCTGCAGTACTTTCTCAGATACTGGAGCTGGAACTGCTCAACGGCGGGGACTCGCCAAGGAGGGGTTTGAGGGCAGCGGAGTCGAGCTCGCTTTACCTTTAACTTATAAGGGGAGTCTATCTCCCTGAAACAGGCGACAGTCTCCGCTCAAGACCGGTGCCGGCGCAGGGCCCTCAGCTAGTGGAGGCTTATGGGCTCCTCTAACGATGGGCTCAAGTGACCGCAAGGCAGCAGCGGCCAACCTCCAGAGCCGAAAGGACCGTCGTCGGATTCACTGGGCTCCACATTTTCGCAAACTGCAGCCCTAGGAGCGCAATCTGGAAAATGTGATCGAAGGGCTTGAGTGCCGCTGCCACAAGTTGCAACAGCTGCGCTTGCTGCCTGTCTGTTCCGTGTGGCGGCATGACAAGTAAACTGAATAAGACCTTCGGCCCTTCCAGCTGAAAGAAGAAAGATTGTGTTTGGTAGTTGTGACATGCCCACACCCAATAGCACGGGAGTCGCATTTGCAGGTTTGGCGTTTTGTATGTTTATCTCGCCGGTCTGTGTGCAGCACCTGCGAAGCCATTGCCAGGCGTGTAGTGAATCAGCAGAAGGCGGAGAATCAGCGGTTGAAGGTCGCGCTCGACAGGCGATGTGCTGCCGTCATCGATCGGGCTTGCGTATCCTTCTAGTGCAGGGCTTGTATTGGAAGGGATGCAGTCATCAGGATTTGCGCACGGTCACAGCACATCGGAGCCTCTCTGGTAGGCGCCCCGACGACCGCCGGGGACGTGGCCGTGCAGAAGTGGAGCGTTTGAGGAAGCGGATAGAGGACACGCGAAAAGCTGTCTGGCTCTTCTTCCAGAGCAGCTGTCAACTGATTTGTGCTCAGAGGGGTAATTAATATCCGCGAAGCTCGTCGACTGGGGGTTCGGGGCGTAGAGAGCGACCCAGTCTTCATTTTACAAAGCTAAGCTATGTCTGTCCCAGTGCTGCACAAGCTTGAGAGGTGAGAGAGAAATGTGTTGCAAACGAGGCTCAACGACTGAAAAGGGCTTCACCCTTTGCACTTGAGTAATCGCCTCTGCAGCTGCTCGTGTCTGTGAGCCCGAGGAGCTAGAATCAGCCCCTCCGCGCGGACAGGCCGGCATGTGACGGGATTGGTCTGTCCCGTAGGCTAGTAGGCATTTCTGGCTCCCGGACCGCATACTCAGACATCTTTACATGCCTAACACACTTAAACCGTTGGTGTTGCCCTGCTAGGTCTTTTCCTCCGTGCTTTCAGCAAACATACATACGATGTGACTGCCCGAGTTGGCCGGGGTGCTACGGCCCAGGACAGCGGCAACATGTCGGCCGAAGGCGAGCGGCGTTTCCGTGGGTGCTTGTCGAAGCACGCGCGAATCCAAGAGGTCCCGTGCTGGAAGCCTACAGACGAGAAGTTGCCGCAAAGGCACGTGGCCGTGACCAGCAACAACAGCCCTTGCACTACAAAGATACATTGTGTTTTTTGCATTCCAAAAATTAGCCGCCCTCTCTTTCTTCGCTGCCTGCAGGAGGAGGTGATCCAGAAGCTTCAAGAAAAGCTCCGCGAGGCCTCCGAGGGCGAGCTCTCGTCGCCTTGGAAGAGTGGAGAAAGACAAAGCGGACGAACAGGAGTCGCCACTAGTCGCTAGCCGGCTAGGACCGTATACCCCGGAAGCAGGCGGCTCAGAGCCGCACACGCCCGTCCCAGAGCAGCTGCGGCAACAGCCCTAAATATCGAAGACCTTCGTCGGAGAAGAAGAGCCTGAGGAGCCAACGGCATAACCTTGGAGACTAGAGCGAGTGGTTTCAACGGGGTGTCTAGTCTGTTTCAGAATGCGCGTATCGCAGCAATGCGGATGTCACCGAGTCTTCGTGTAGCTGCCAGGGGCCAGGAACGGAGCCTCCGGAGATGCAGCGATTGCTTCAGGACGGAACATAGCGGGTGCGTGCGGGCCAAGCTGGAGAGTCGCTGAAAGGAAGTGCTCGCATTCGATCTCCTTGGTATGCAAAGGCATGTGAGGTGGCAGGGGGCTTTAGGCTCACGGTCGGCCCCAGCTAGGCAGTTCAACTTCACTTCATTGAAATGTAAACAGAGCCCCGCTGTGCACCCTCTTGGTGAACTGCTCCGACCCGGCTTTCGCGGCTTTGCGAACAGTTCGCAAACTGATGGGCCAACGAATCTTCAGGAGCTGGCCGAGCTGCGCCGTGCAAGAGGCCATTGTCTGATCAAGCCACGTGCACATCCGTTTATGCATTCTAACAGTAATCATAAAGGTGCATGGAGGTGCCACCAATGCCTTGGCAGTGGGCAGGGGCGGACCGTCTAGAGTCTAGAGGGGCAAGCATCAAGGGTTAAAACATGCTTGACTGGCACAGTCCGTGGACCTTGCAAGTCTCTGTGTTTGTGGGATTTGATAGCAGCTTGAGCTGCAAGCGCCTTGCATTCACCACCACACTGCACGTCCACTAGATCATTACAGCAGGATCTGCTGCAACCAGCAACAAGCATTCGCCCCCAAGCGAAGTTACCGACGTCTGAGAGCCCAACAGCTCCGGCAGAGCCATGTTGTAAAGCCTCATACTTGTGGGAAGCTCTTTCGGCAGCCGATGCTGCATGAGACTGAACAGGATTCAACCTTGAACTGGTTTGGGCATGTTTTGCCCCAGGCATGAACAAGCTTAACACCTTAACCAGCAGGATGAAGCGAGCGAAGAAATCCGTAAGCGGACTGCAAATCAGATGAGACTAAAATCCGAGCCAAGAAGAGACTATGAGACTGTCCTTCTGGCAAAAGAAGCCTGCAAAGCTCTTAAGGCGAAGATGGACAGGCCCTGGATGAAGCGCAGCGCGCACTGCAGGAGGTCCGCTCGACATTTCTTCCAACCCCCCCCCCCGAAGCTTTAACAAGCCCCCAAAAAAGTAACAGCAAGTATATTCAGGCTGTAGGCTTTGAGCCGCTTCCGCCAGATGAAATTAGGTCGCACGCCCCAGGCAGTCCCCATGCACTATCAAGTGTAAGCAGGAAGCCCATTCTCTTCAGCCTTCCGTGCCCTGTTCGAAACATAGGATGGACTCCAGGCAGTAGAATCGCTTGACGTCGCCTCTGGAAGCGGTTTGTACTGCACCCGGGAAGCCTTGTTTGATCCATGATTCCAGAAACCAGTGATGTTGTCTGAGTTTTTCTGGGCTGATGGCTCGATACTGAGCCAGGCCGAGATGACGGAGAAGCGCTACTTGGAGGCCTCTCGCTAGGCTTTGGGGAACTGCTACAACTAGAATACTCCACGAGGCACAGTTTCAGCATGTGCTCTCGAAGCCACACTTCGCCCACAGCCCTTCCCCAGTCAAGCTTCATGGCGGACTGACGTTATGGGTTGTGATCGAGTGCATCAGGTGGTTTGGTGCCGTAAGATGAATGGCAAGACCTGTCATGATGTCGTTCCTGTGCAGCAAGACTGAAGTTAAAGCAAAATGATAGAGTTGATACGTAAAAAAATCCAGCATTACCCTGAGTCTCGTTAGTAGACTGTAGGCATGCAGGCTCTATCAGGCTCTATGGCATCAACCGTACGAGTGTCTGGAACTGTGTGACAGCGGCAGCACTTGTGCCATCGAAGTGTTGTTTTCTCGCCAACTCTTGCGAGCATCCCCCAGCGGCCGAGTGCTGACGCAGGTTTAGGAAGGAGTTCTGCAGTTCTCAGCATAGCACCCTTCCGGCTTCAGTAGCGAAATCATCGTCTGCAAATTCCCACGAGCAAAACGTGAGACTCCTCTATCTCAGTTGCATTTTCCTGGCAGGTTGTCCGCGAGAATCGCAAACTTCGACAGGACCTGTCGGCACTGGAGGATGATGGTTTCTGGAAGGACCAGAAGTGGGGTGCTGCGCCGGTTCTAGCATGCAGTGACAACATGTGGTACCTCTGCTGCATCATGGCCGGCCGCTCGTGTTCGATTTGTGGAGGAGATAGAGTCTCTCCAAACTCGCAACCAGGAGGTGCGACCTGAATTTGCCAAATAAGCCAAATAAAGCACAGAACGGTTGCTAATGGTCAAGTCGACTTGGAGAGCAGTTAAGCGAGAAATAGCTCATGGGAATGCTTCGTCCGCTCATGCCTCCTTTAAGACTTCAGGCGGTCGGCCTTGCCAAAGAGAGCCAGGAGGCTGGCGAGACTCTGAGCGACTTTGAGAGGATTGCAGCTCTTGCCGAGGCCCTGCTGCGTTGCGGCACAGCCGCTGGAGTGGACGTCGCGTCACTGATGGCCCTCGGCACAGTGTGAGGACCGTCATCTTGATGTGTAGGCTACCGCGTGTTCCGAGGCTCGACTTGAGACGTTTGCTGCTGCCGGCTAGCTGACAACCATTCAGCACAATTTCAGTGCATAATTGCTTCAAGCAGTCATGCGGTGTTTGCAGCTGCCGCTGTAAAGCAGCGAAGCTGTAAGCTGGGGATGCATCCTGTGAAGGTCATACAATGGGTCGCTTAAAACAACCATCCAGGACAGGCCATCCCGGCACATGCCTGGAAGGCCGACAAATTCAGCTGCAATAATTCAACATTTATGTTCAGTCAGGCCGGGTTGACATAGGTCGGAAGTCTGAAGCCGTCCAACAAAGATTTGCTGGCCATGGCCTGCGATACCTCCGCACGCTCGTCCTTCGTTTGCTAGTCACACTGGAGTCTTGACTTGGCCAGCTTCGACTTCCAGTAGCAAGAATGCCGGATGCGCAACTGGGGCTGCGGAACAAGGCAGGGAGCTCGTTGTCGTTCCGAACCCAAGCCTGGCATCTGCCCAGCTTTGTGTGTACTGGCTCGTCATCTAACTTGCTGACTGTTCTGCAAAGACACTGTTCTGCAAAGCGGGCATGAAGGTTTGGAGCATGCTGACGGTCTCTAAGGCTCTGGATCGTCCTGAGCTTTGTCTTCTGGCGACGAATAGCCCCTGCCTCGGCCGTGGGCAGTCCAGGGCATTGCCTTTGAGCCGTGGTACGTCTCAGAAGGCAGAAGCCCAGAAGAGCACATCTTACGGTATCTTACGTCATGTTACTGGTGTTCAAAGCAATCAAGAAAGCTCTGCCAATAGCATTAACAGCATCAGTTGAACTAAGTTCGATAATCGAAACAGTACAGAATACAGGGACGAACAGTGGGTCATGCGAGTATCTAAATTGGAGCTAGTGCAACTTTCAATGATGGCGCTGGCTCCACAAGGATAACAGAAGTATCTCGCAGGCTCGGACCTATGCGGAGCGGGCGAGGATCCCATCGGAGCCCAGAAGAAGAGGAGAAAGGAACGAGCGAAAATGGTTGAATCGGTTAAGATCAGTGTCAGTGTAGGTTTGCGTGACCTGCCAGCTGCCGCCAACCATGGATGCGCGGCTAAGGTGTGCAAAGGTGTGCAGTTGCACCCCCCTGCACCGGCGGGGGACACGGCACGCCTCAGCTGCATGTCAACTACACGCCACTGCAACCCCTTGGGCTGGCGGTGGACATGGCGCACCTCGCCTGCATGCCGACTGCACGCCGCTGCACCCCCTGCACCGGCGGTGAACACGGCGCGCCTCACCTGCATTTCGACTGCACGCCGATGTACCCGCTACGCCGGCTCCCATTCGCCTGGACACAACGGGTTCCTCATTTAGCTAGAATCCCTCCTGTATGAATGAAAGTTTCTGGGGAACATATAATTCAAAATAATCTCCTTGTTTCCAACCGATGAAAAAGATTTCAGATTAGATCGGCGAAGACCCCAGATAGCTGGGAAAGCGTCTAAAGGTTCATGGTTTCGGACATAATTGGCTGTCAAATTGGTTATAACCAAGAAGGTCAACTCCTTTTTGTGTTGTGGCCCCCAGGTAGCTTAGCGCCTGCAGTGCTGTTTTAGGCTTAGGCTTGCCAACCCTCGAATTGCGGTGTCTGGGCTCACGCGTCTTCACATGCCTCAATTGCGGCTTGTGGCGCAATTTGAACTCCACTCGGCCTTTCCATTCTTTCGGGTCACTGGGCCGGGTCTTTGTCAAGAAAGTCCCGTCGTTGACAGTGACAGTCGATCCCTCACTGTATATCTGGTATGTCGTTCTGAGACTGTGTCGCCGGTCAATCGGGACATTTTCGTTGGCAAAGTTAGAGTCTTGGAGGCTTCGATTCGAGGATCGAGCATTTCTTTTCTCTATCTTGACGTGCCGGATCCCTTGCAGCTGTGGCTCATTCACTTCCCACACATCATACGTATAATCATGAGCATTCTTTATGCCCTGTGCCACAGCAAACAGGGCACCGATCTGCTGAAGATAGTTAAACGTGGTCTCCCCGGGGCCCAAAATTTCCGGAAAATTTAGAAGTTCGGGTTGCCGCTTTAAGAAGGTGGGGCCTCTTCGGTGGTCTCGGGCTAGGCCCAGTCTTCTTATTTTTTGGAAAATTTGGGGATCCGGGTAGCTCGACGCCTCGGTCTCGAAATTTGCGACAAATTTTCAGTTATCGCTTCTCTAAATTTTCTAGAAGTTTAGACACCGACAATTTTCGGCAAATTTCGAGAACGAATGCAGCCTTCTAATGTCTTATATTCCAAATGCAGAATATGTAATACAGCCATTTTGTAGTCTTATATTGGAACATCGTGCCTCATCTATTTATGTGGGTTATCGATTACAGGGATTTTCCCATGTAGTGCTATGGATGAGCGCTTGTACGCGAAAGTTCTGTCTGTCTGTCCGTCCCTCCGTCCGTCTGTTTCTCTGTCTGCCTGTCTACCTGTCTGCCTGTCTGCCTCTCTGCCTCTCTGCCTCTCTGCCTCTCTGCCTCTCTGCCTCTCTGCCTCTCTGCCTCTCTGCCTCTCTGTCTCTCTGTCTCTCTCTCTATCTCTCTCTATCTCTCTCTGTCTCTCTCTGTCTCTCTCTGTCTCTCTCTGTCTCTCTCTGTCTCTCTCTGTCTCTGTCTGTCTCTGTCTCTGTCTCTGTCTCTGTCTCTGTCTCTGTCTCTGTCTCTGTCTGTCTCTGTCTGTCTGTCTGTCTGTCTGTCTGTCTGTCTGTCTGTCTGTCTGTCTGTCTGTCTGTCTGTC